CCGAAAAATCCTACGTTAGTGCTTTATTCCTACTAGAATTGTAGTGTGCGCTAGAAGTTCGGTATTCCTACTAGAATTATTGAGTATGATAGAAGCGATTGTTGTTATTTTCAGCGAGACAAACCGTCTCGACAACGGTATGATGCTGGAGCTTTGGAACAAGGGTGTACTATGGGACAAGTTGATTGGTTTGTATTCATTGCGCATTTATGAATTCAGTCAGGAAATTGCTTTACACTCAGACAATAATGTCAAAATCAGTCATTGCATTCAGCAAACACTTCAATAAATTCTAGTCAAACAACCGGGAACAAATGAATTTCTCGGTAAATGAATCTCATGTAAAAGTTAGCTCAGCCAACCCTTGTCACGCTACTCTCAGAATTTTATGCTCATATAAAAAGGCGTCATTGATTCGTGTGAAAAGTTTCGGAACTGGTAAATAATTTTCCCAAGCCATCGATAATTTTTTTCATGAATCATTTCTTGTTGCCTTCCGTATGGATTTTTAGTGGTTATAGTTCAACGTTTCGATAAGTTATATTGATTTCATGTGGTGGAAAGCACTGGATAAGTTGCAGTTCAGCTCTGTTATGTGCTCGCCAAATGATTCGCTTCTTTTCAGGTGTACATTATATGCCGTTGACTTCAGTGCAATACAGCAATGAGACAGGCGCTGGGAAATGGCTTCAAATAGATCAGGAACTCGAGACAAGGAACGGTCAAACCATTGGTACAAGTCGACCGACTGGTCATTCGTTACTCGTCGACGTGCGATTCGAGTTACCGTTCGGTAGGCCAGCGACTTTTTTAATCATTGCAAGAACTCTTGTGCATTCGAATGTTTTGTCTTGGTTAATGACGACTTTCACTGTGTTGTCGCTATGGTTTCAGATGCTCAAGGCTCAGACGCTGAAGAATTACAAGCGAAACTGCAGGCGTTGAACAAGCTCATTGAAGTTAATGTAAGTCGTATGTGTCATTCGCTGTTAACGTCACCAGACTGCATTCATTCCTAGGGGCAGTTCCACAGGAATCATTAATTGCTCGAAGTCTTATTGTGATAATTGCTGGTTCAAGCATAATGTTCCATCCACCTATCTCGTCACATAGATCAAAACTGCAGTCTATGCTTGTTTCCAATCCAATCGATTTAACGAAAGTG